TGGGTGATTGTAACCTTTCCACCGCTGCCCATTGGATGGGGGAGGGGGGGAGGATTCTGAATTGACATTTGCCTGATAGGCAAATCAAATTATGAAACTACCTTACCACATGTACACAAGTACTTAGAGACAGTACTTGTGGTCGATATAATACCAGTACACATTAATCTGTGCAACTAACCTAGCAAGACGGTAACTGAATTTGGGGGTTCAGTCTTCAGAGTCCATTATGTAACCCTTCCCACTACCGCCCACAGGATGGGTATGGGGTGCATAATAATGGGTCTCGGTAGTCAACCCGTCCTCGACTCAAGTCCATTACATCCAGCGGTCAACCCCACAGACGCATTCATAAATTTTAACTTGCTGTTCATTCAAAACGGGAATTTTCTTAAGTATAAATTAATATTATTATATATTAACATATTGTGTACATATAGGCATAGGTTAGGTGTTTAGGTTCTGTTGGCGATTATTTGTATTTGTAGTACGTGGGTGAAGCATTTATAGCGTTGTGATTCGAACAAAATTCGTCAGTGAAGCACTTGTTCCGGATATGTTCGAACGTCAGCAGTTGTGAGTCGTGTGTAAACCGTTTTTTATTCATAAACAGGGGGTTTGGCGGGTGCATGGAATCACTTTTGGATCTTTGTTTGGAGGACGGGCTGCATAAACAGGCAGCCCGTCCTCCAAACAAAGACCCAAAGTCCATTCCATGCACCCGCCAAACCCGCTGTTTATGAATAAAAAACGGTTTACACACGACTCACAACTGCTGACGTTCGAACATATCCGGAACAAGTGCTTCACTGACGAATTTTGTTCGAATCACAACGCTGTGATTCGAACAAATTCGAACGATTCGAACACCACGACTCACAATTGATGACGTCCGAACTACAAATACAAATAATTGCCAACAGGACCTAAACACCTAACCTATGCCTATATATGCACAATATACTAATATATTATAATATTAATTTATATTTGAGAAAATTCCTGGTTTGAATGAACAGCATATAAAAATGTATGAATATGACTGTGGGGTCGACCGCTGGATGGAATGGACTTGAGTCGAGGACGGCTTGGGACCAAGTCAGTTCGAAGACGACGTCACTTGTATAAACATTACCAAACGCGGAGGCGAGAAGCGTGAGCTGGTTGGTGCAGTTACGCGCGTCACGATTGATTGATTGATTGATTGATTGATTGATTGATTGATTGATTGATTGATTGATTGATTGATTGATTGACTGATTGATAAAGATTACGCCACCTAAAAGATGACACGGTCATGAGAATATCCCGTAAGTGGAAGCTTTTTGGAGCCATTACCAGTATCAATAGCGCGCGTAACGACAGGAGAGGCGGTTAAATACAGTTGAAGATTTTGCAGCCACCGGTGAAGTGTAGCGGGCCGTTACATCTTGGCTCTAAGGCCCAGACGAATTTCAAATTTAAATTTAAATTCAAAATCTTTATCCATAAATGGCTATAAATTTGCAATTGAGTTTGTATAGAAATTTCAAGCACATTTTTCATATACGCAGAAAATTAGTAATTCAAGAAGCGTCGTGTACTTAAGTGTTCGTCTTACGAAGGTTCTTAGGAACTCTGTATAAGATGTCCCCCTACGCTCGATCCACCAAGGTGTTCCTGTGGAGATGTCTGGGGTCTGGTTCACCTGCTTCTCCACAGAGGTCACTACTACTATTCTTATGACCAGAATGAAGGTAAGATTGTTCATCTTATCGTTTTTCTGCCAATCACGTTGCCGGCCTAGCTGGATAGCTGACCAATTTATGGCGCTAGAACTGCCATGTACACCACAATGTGTAACCCCTATTTATCGATGTGTACACACTTGAGAGTGTTCTTTTCCCCTTGGAGTGTGTTGAGGAGTATATATGGATGTGGGTGAGTTTCCCTTCAAACAAAAGGACGTCATTCGTGTGTGAAATATTTCCTCGTGTGTTGGGTGTATGGTCATATATGAGGCCAGGTGTGAGAGTGCAGGGAGCACCATGGTCATATATGAGGCCAGGTGTGAGAGTGCAGGGAGCACCAGGATGGTCATATATGAGGCCAGGTGTGAAAGTGCAGTGAGGGCCAGGATGGTCACCCAAGATTCGTCTTGAACATTTCTTCCATACACAATTAAGTTTAGGAAGATCAGCATCTTGAAGGTGCCATGGATCACATCCATACAGACTCAGACATTGTTAAATAACTTGACCTTTGACCGGGTACCCAAAAAGACCGAGTTCACTCGTATTGATATTTTCTTAATTTTAGGTCAATAATAACATCAGAAAAAATATATAAGTGGGCCATTTTAGGAAATAATGTCCGAGACATTTTTCGGATTACTTTACAGGAATGTCTTCTCTGCCTAGTAATTTTATTTTTGGGTTGAATATAAATTGAATGTGAATTAAAGGGGGCTGCACCATTTGACAGGATCAACCTAAGGCTTTATTCTGCACTAATCCTCACATATTTCAAGGTTTCTAGAACATCTTTGGTAGGTGTGAGTAGAACTAAATCATTACCTCAGCAGAAACTGTTGCATATGCGAAAGCCAGTTCGACTGGCTCTTTAACTCCTTCAACAATGGATCAACATAGATAACAAATATAATATGGGACAGTTGACCAGACCACACACTAGAAGGTGAAGGGACGACGACGTTTCGGTCCGTCCTGGACCATTCTCAAGTTGATTGGGACTAAAGACAGCATATTGTTTGGCCCAATTTTTAGTGAAAAATATACATTGATAATTTGGATACTTGAGCAAATTTGGATACTTGATACAAACTATATAGATATCTAGCGATGACAGGGACACACCTTTCATGCTTAGCAGTTCTCTGAAAGGGCTAAAGGCCAGCCATATAGGCCAGGCCGTTATAACAGATAGTCAACAGGCCCCCAGTGGCCTTTTTTCCTGTTGGCCGTTTTTCCTTTCCTACAGGCAGGTGTCGCGGAGAGACGTTGTGACGTCCGTGTGTGATTAATTGATAAAGATTAAGCCACCCAAGAGGTGGCACGGGCATGAATAGCCCGTAAGTCCGTGAGTGTTGGCGAGATGCTTATATGTTCGTGCCGGTGTAGGTGCAGGTGGTATTGGCACCTCGGGCCTAGCTCCAGTTCTTCTGGCATCACTGCCTCTGCCACTACTGCTTCCAGTATCAGTAGTGGAGGCGGCCTGTGTCGGTGGTCCGGATACGGCAGACGACCGCTGCTCCTGCCGCCCTGGCCCGCGGCCGCTCGTTTACCGCGGGAACTCATTTCCGGCGCTGGAGGTACTTTTTGGGGAGGTGGGGGACGTGGGGGGGGGGGGTATAGCAGGGCCGGGAGGAGGCGGAGGTAGAGCCACCAACCTCACACGACACCTGTCTCATAAACCAGTAATGAGGAGAGCATGTCTATACTTCGAGGAGACGTGGAAGTAATGTGTGTGTGTGTGTGTGTGTGTGTACTCAGCTTGTGTGTGTGTGTGTGTGTGTGTGTGTGTATTCGTGTATTCACCTAGTTGTATTCACCTAGTTGTGCTTGCGGGGGTTGAGCTCTGGCTCTTTCGGCCCGCCTCTCAACTGTCAATCAACTGATGTACAGATTCCTGAGCCTACTGGGCTCTGTCATATCTACATTTGAAACTGTGTATGGAGTCAGCCTCCACCACATGTGTGTGTGTATGTGTGTGTAGGTGTGCGTGCGTCGTGTCTCCAAACCATGCATTACCATGGGAGTACCACTAAGATGTTTGACACGCTAAACAACACGCTAAGCATCCCAAGACTCCTATAGGTCTTGGGTTGAACGGTGACATTGGGAAGAACGGGATGATCGCCTCTAGTGACCCTGCGGGGGGGATCACCCCTTGAGTGGACCTTGAGAGTGTATATACCCTGTAAATATGTGTAATTGTCCAGCTTAAGCTTATGGCGACCATGAATACTACTCCAGCTTAAGCTTATGGCGACCATGAATACTACTCCAGCTTAAGCTTATGGCGACCATGAATACTACTCCAGCTTAAGCTTATGGCGACCATGAATACTACTCCAGGTTAAGCTTATGGCGACCATGAATACTACTCCAGCTTAAGCTTATGGCGACCATGAATACTGCTGGCGACCATGAATACAGCTTAAGCTTATGGCGACCATGAATACTACTCCAGGTTAAGCTTATGGCGACCATGAATACTACTCCAGCTTAACAAGGACAGTACTGGGGTAAGGGGAACAACAGGGTCAGTACTAGGGTTATCTTGAGGTTATCTTGAGATGATTTCGGGGCTTTAGTGTCCCCGCGGCCCGGTTCTCGACCAGGCCTCCACCCCCAGGAAGCAGCCCGTGACAGCTGACTAACACCCAGGTACCTATTTTACTGCTAGGTAACAGGGGCATAGGGTGAAAGAAACTCTGCCCATTGTTTCTCACCGGCGCCCGGGATCGAACCCGGGACCACAGGATCACAAGTCCAGCGTGCTGTCCGCTCGGCCGACCAGCTCCCTCACCAAGGTAAGTAAGGGAACAACAGAGACAGTACTGGGGTAAGAGGCCAGCACAGGAAGGAGTTGTATAGAGAGAAGGGGGTAAAGAAGAGGGGAGATGGGGAGGGGAGAAAGGGGGGAAGAGGGAGGGTAAAGAAGGGGGGAGGGGGGGGAAGGTGATCAAGTCGCAGGTCACGCAACACTCGCGCTCTCACGCCAAAGTTACACCAAAACAAAGTTACTTAGGTAGTGGAGCTTCCTGTATTCATGTGTATTATCAAGTTTACTAACTTTTGTATAAATATATATATATAAACTTTGTCTGTATTTCAGCTAAAGCTGGAGCTAAGGTGTGTGTGTGTGTGTGTGTGTGTGTGTGTGTGTGTGTGTGTGTGTGTGTGTGTGTGTGTGTGTGTGTGTGTAATACATAGTGACTGGAAACTCTCATGAAGTTTCTTTTTGTTACGTGGCTTCCATTATTACATGATACACCTATGTGCACACCTGGCTACCTCACGACCTCCAGTGGCACCTCGCGACCTCCAGTGGCACCCCACGACCTCCAGTGGCACCCCACGACCTCCAGTGGCACCCCACGACCTCCAGTGGCACCCCACGACCTCCAGTGGCACCCCACGACCTCCAGTGGCACCCCACGACCTCCAGTGGCACCCCACGACCTCCAGTGGCACCTCACGACCTCCAGTGGCACCTCACGACCTCCAGTGGCACCTCACGACCTCCAGTGGCACCTCACGACCTCCAGTGGCACCTCGCGACCTCCAGTGGCACCTCGCGACCTCCAGTGGCACCTCGCGACCTCCAGTGGCACCTCGCGACCTCCAGTGGCACCTCGCGACCTCCAGTGGCACCTCGCGACCTCCAGTGGCACCCCGCGACCTCCAGTGGCACCCCACGACCTCCAGTGGCACCCCACGACCTCCAGTGGCACCCCACGACCTCCAGTGGCACCTCACGACCTCCAGTGGCACCCCACGACCTCCAGTGGCACCCCACGACCTCCAGTGGCACCCCACGACCTCCAGTGGCACCCCACGACCTCCAGTGGCACCCCACGACCTCCAGTGGCACCCCACGACCTCCAGTGGCACCTCGCGACCTCCAGTGGCACCTCGCGACCTCCAGTGGCACCTCGCGACCTCCAGTGGCACCTCGCGACCTCCAGTGGCGCCCCGCGACCTCCAGTGGCACCTCGCGACCTCCAGTGGCACCTCGCGACCTCCAGTGGCACCTCGCGACCTCCAGTGGCACCTCGCGACCTCCAGTGGCACCTCGCGACCTCCAGTGGCACCTCGCGACCTCCAGTGGCACCTCGCGACCTCCAGTGGCACCTCGCGACCTCCAGTGGCACCCCACGACCTCCAGTGGCACCCCACGACCTCCAGTGGCACCTCGCGACCTCCAGTGGCACCTCGCGACCTCCAGTGGCACCTCACGACCTCCCCGCCCCTCCTCCACCTATCCTTATTTGATGTCTAATATGTCCTCATTTGTCTCCCTCCTGACGCAGTCGCTGAAGAAGGAAATTAAGGTGATCCTTCTCATATCGACTTGACAGCGGCTTAATTTGAATATCAGAGCCAGGGACAAAACTGGTGCGTCCGGGGCGACACCCAAGGCACTCAGGAGGAGGAGGAGAAGGGGGAGGAAGAAAGAGGGGGGGAGAGGAGGGGGGGGAAAAGAGGAGGGGGAGGGGGTGCAGTGGGGAGTTTATCGTTTCTCACTTCCTGACGATTTTATCATTAAGAATCGATATCCCTCACGTTTACCCCCCCTCCCCCCAACACCCCCTCTCCTTCCCCTTCCCCCCCTCCTTCCCCTCCCCCCCCACCCCAATGCCATCAGCGTGTGGGTGGGAGTACTTAGAGACTCAGCCTCCAGGTCCCCGGGTCGGGAGGCGCGCACGGCAGCCATATATATATATATATATATATATATATATATATATATATATATATATATATATATATATATATATATATATATATAAAATAGATGGGTACGAACCGGTACTTGTCATAGTACCCCGTATTTTGACCGTTAGGTAGCAATGCGTACAAAATGCAGTGGATGATTTGAGAGGGTTGGTCGGGCAGGTCCTCCGCTGCCGAAACGTTTGGGCAACTGTGAAGGGAATATCGACGGGGGGGGGGGGGGGTTCGAGGCTCTTAGGGTATGAATGTTGTCAGCAGTCGGGTGGCACCGTTGCTACTGGGTCGGGTGACACCGTCGCTACTGAGTCGGGTGGCACCGTTGCTACTGGGTCGGGTGACACCGTCGCTACTGAGTCGGGTGGCACCGTTGCTACTGGGTCGGGTGGCACCGTTGCTACTGGGTCGGGTGGCACCGTTGCTACTGGGTCGGGTGACACCGTCGCTACTGGGTCGGGTGGCACCGTTGCTACTGGGTCGGGTGACACCGTCGCTACTGGGTCGGGTGGCACCGTTGCTACTGGGTCGGGTGGCACCGTTGCTACTGGGTCGGGTGGCACCGTGCTACTGGGTCGGGTGGCACCGTTGCTACTGGGTCGGGTGGCACCGTTGCTACTGGGTCGGGTGGCACCGTTGCTACTGGGTCGGGTGGCACCGTTGCTACTGGGTCGGGTGGCACCGTCGCTACTGGGTCGGGTGACACCGTCGCTACTGGGTCGGGTGGCACCGTTGCTACTGGGTCGGGTGACACCGTCGCTACTGGGTCGGGTGGCACCGTTGCTACTGGGTCGGGTGGCACCGTTGCTACTGGGTCGGGTGGCACCGTTGCTACTGGGTCGGGTGGCACCGTTGCTACTGGGTCGGGTGGCACCGTCGCTACTGGGTCGGGTGGCACCGTCGCTACTGGGTCGGGTGGCACCGTTGCTACTGGGTCGGGTGGCACCGTTGCTACTGGGTCGGGTGACACCGTCGCTACTGGGTCGGGTGGCACCGTTGCTACTGGGTCGGGTGACACCGTTGCTACTGGGTCGGGTGGCACCGTTGCTACTGGGTCGGGTGGCACCGTTGCTACTGGGTCGGGTGGCACCGTTGCTACTGGGTCGGGTGGCACCGTTGCTACTGGGTCGGGTGGCACCGTTGCTACTGGGTCGGGTGGCACCGTTGCTACTGGGTCGGGTGGCACCGTTGCTACTGGGTGGGTCGGGTGGCACCGTTGCTACTGGGTCGGGTGGCACCGTTGCTACTGGGTCGGGTGGCACCGTCGCTACTGGGTCGGGTGGCACCGTTGCTACTGGGTCGGGTGACACCGTCGCTACTGGGTCGGGTGGCACCGTTGCTACTGGGTCGGGTGGCACCGTTGCTACTGGGTCGGGTGGCACCGTTGCTACTGGGTCGGGTGGCACCGTTGCTACTGGGTCGGGTGGCACCGTCGCTACTGGGTCGGGTGGCACCGTCGCTACTGGGTCGGGTGGCACCGTTGCTACTGGGTCGGGTGGCACCGTCGCTACTGGGTCGGGTGGCACCGTCGCTACTGGGTCGGGTGGCACCGTCGCTACTGGGTCGGGTGGCACCGTCGCTACTGGGTCGGGTGGCACCGTCGCTACTGGGTCGGGTGGCACCGTCGCTACTGGGTCGGGTGGCACCGTTGCTACTGGGTCGGGTGGCACCGTCGCTTCTGGGTCGGGTGGCACCGTCGCTACTGGGTCGGGTGGCACCGTCGCTTCTGGGTCGGGTGGCACCGTCGCTACTGGGTCGGGTGGCACCGTCGCTTCTGGGTTGGGTGGCACCGTCGCTTCTGGGTTGGGTGGCACCGTCGCTACTGGGTCGGGTGGCACGGTCGCTACTGGGTCGGGTGGCACCGTTGCTACTCTCTCTCTCTCTCTCTCTCTCTCTCTCTCTCTCTCTCTCTCTCTCTCTCTCTCTCTCTCTCTCTCTCTCTCTCTCTCTCTCTCTCTCTCAGGAGCACCTCGACCAGGTAAATCCCAGGTAATCCTCATTAACACCCGCGACAGTTACCCACTTCACCGGAATATCCTCATTACCGGTCCTTCACCGCCCCCGCCAATCACCGACCAGCTTCTGCTGTCCATAGTGTTTTGCGTTAGTTACCACTTGCTAATGGAGGGAGGTAAGGGAAGGGGGTGAGCATCTGTCAGTCATTGGTTGGACTAGATGTATTGTTAATGCTTACTTAGGGGGTGAGGTCTGTTATGGAGTGGGGAATGGGGTTGGGGAGAGGGGGGGTGTTTATGGGGGGTGTGGTGCAGTGGAGGGGGGGGGGGACTGCAGTATTTGTGTGGGGATGATTGGTGGAGGGGTGTCTTACGGGCTCGCCATAGCCCGTGCTACAGGGATATTTAGTTCTGAGTAGTTAAATCTTAAACGACAACAACGGTGGAGGGGATGGGAGGATGGGCGCAGTGACCTCTCTTGGTGTATGTGGTTGCTATATACGTATTAAGGTGTCTATACGCCCGAGCTCCGCCATGTTGGGGTAATCAGACATTGAAAATCTTCGCAGCTCAATTGAGGTGGCATGGGGTCACTGGTGTCATGGGGTCACTGGGTCACTGGTGGCATGGGGTCACTGGGTAACTGGTGGCATGGGGTCACTGGTGGCATGGGGTCACTGGTGGCATGGGGTCACTGGTGGCATGGGGTCACTGGCGGCATGGGGTCACTGGCGGCATGGGGTCACTGGTGGCATGGGGTCAATGGTGTCACTGGTGGCATGGGGTCACTGGGTCACTGGTGGCATGGGGTCACTGGTGGCATGGGGTCACTGGTGGCATGGGGTCACTGGCGGCATGGGGTCACTGGCGGCATGGGGTCACTGGTGTCACTGGTGGCATGGGGTCACTGGTGGCATGGGGTCACTGGTGGCATGGGGTCACTGGTGGCATGGGGTCACTGGTGTCATGGGGTCACTGGTGGCATGGGGTCACTGGTGGCATTGGGTCACTGGTGGCATGGGGTCACTGGTGGCATGGGGTCACTGGTGGCATGGGGTCACTGGTGGCATGGGGTCACTGGTGGCATTGGGTCACTGGTGGCATGGGGTCACTGGTGTCATGGGGTCACTGGTGTCATGGGGTCACTGGTGGCATGGGGTCACTGGTGGCATGGGGTCACTGGTGGCATGGGGTCACTGGTGGCATGGGGTCACTGGCGGCATGGGGTCACTGGTGGCATGGGGTCACTGGTGGCATGGGGTCACTGGTGGCAGCGTCAGGAGGTCCCTCGCCTTACCACTTTTGATAATATTGATGAAGATTAAGCCACCCAAAAGGTGGCACGGGCATGAATAGCCCGTAAGTGGTGGCACCTTTTGAGCCATCACCAGTATCAATAGATACTGGAGATCTGTGAAGGTATGACTGCACCCTGCGTGACGGGAGATGTCTCCCGTGTGTTGAAATGATAAAGCTATACTCTTGTATTCGTGTATATAGCCAGAAAAAGCTGGGTTAGGTTATATATATATGAAAACTTGGCTTATACACGCTGAGAGTCGCCAGGGAAGCTCGCCAGGGAAGCCGTGTGACCCGACCCTCTTCATCACGTGACTGGATAAATATTTAAAGTTCAACACGTGGTAGGACAGAAGCGGTTGGACATAGTTTCCTTTCATCTAATGCCTCTCTTCGCCTAACAGTAACTAGGTGGCCGGGAATGAGGCAACTGTCTTGGGTTGCATCGTGGGGAAGGTTAGCAAGATACGGCCCGAGGGCGACCTCTATAAGTCTTAGTACAGGCTGCATATGTCCCCCCGACAACACATAATTCTTCCTATATACTCTCCAGTGTAATATTTTGCGGAGTAGCCACTGTAGCCAAGTGTATACCCTCTCCTTTTTAGTAATTGATAACAAGATGGAGAAGGAAGACAAGTAAGAAGAGGAGGATCTTCCAAGTCCTGAGGAGGTACCTCTGTCGACCCTTGGCCAGGTGTGAATGATGGGGACAGGTAAGACAAAGAGCATTTACTGTAACGTCTTGCTGTAACCTCAGAGATGTTTACACTTGTCCCTGGTACCTGCAGGGGACACGCCATGTGTGTGTGGGGGGGGGGCGACGCCCCAGGCCTCAGTCTGAGGCTCCAGGCGTGGGAGGAAGTGTCCGCTGGTGTTGTTGTTGATTCAGCTACTCTGAACAAGTTCCAAGTAGCACGGGCTATGGTGAGCCCGTAGTGGACTTAACTGGCACAAGAACGGTGCCACGGTCCGCTGGTGGCTAGAGCGGGTATATATACCTGTCTGTTGGGGGCGGTGTTAGCGTGATCGCTTCTCAGCTTAGCAGGAGTGTAGCGCGTCTGAGGTGTACTCCTGCCGTCAGTCTAGCCCCGGTGTTAGCCTGGCCTCGCCCTAGCCCCTATATTTGCATAGCATCAGTCTGGCGCCAATGTCATCCTGGAAATAGTGTCACTGTCACAGTTAACGTGTTGGCAGTATCAGTCACCACAAGCGTGGACCAGCACCCCCCCCCCTACCCCCCTCTACCACAGCCGCAGCTAACCACCATAAACATCGCTCATACACCAC